TGTAGAATCATTGCCATTTTGTAAAATTACTGTGTCTCCGTGAGTTTTTAATATTAAATATTTTTTCATTGTTAAAAGCTACGATTTTGAGTTCATTTCGTTGAAACACCTTTGTTCGGCTCAAGATATTCCTTTTCGGCCGATAAAGTGACCTTTCACAATCCCTTTAACATAAAAAATTGTTTTAATCTTTCGATTTGACCTACTCAAACTTTATAGAAACTCCTTTGTTTCAATTTGGAGCCTAGCATAATAGAAGTTTGAATCCAGATCCGCTGACCGCTTCGCTCTCATGCATCACAATCGTCAGTTAGATGTGTATGCTATCGACGGGCAAAAAATTGTTCAAGAGTCAAGTGTTCAAGGTAAGTTTTAGAATTGCTGATTTGCAGCAGTCTTTTCTATAAATTCCACTCTCGAAAATTATCTCATTGCATCATCAAAAAGGCAGTGTTTATCATTTCTTTATCACCACTGTACTTTCACAAGTTATATTCTAAAATAGTGGGGTTGATCCTTAGCTTTTTTGGTTCGCTCTTTGCCATATCGTATACTCTGGAAATTGATATCATGGTTGAAGAATATAGCAGTTTTGAAAACCATATATTTGGCATAAAGACATAAATTAAGGCATGTTGGGGTATTCCAACGGTATCTTTCTAGTAAGATAAGGAAAGTTTCAAAACATGGTATTAAAGCTTATGGCTCTAAGCCATTATATTTGTTTTTGGCTCATAGCGATAATCCTCTCTTCAGTGCTGGAAGATGAATTCGCTCAATATTGCCTTCTCGAGTTTACTGCTTCTGGATCACTTCTGTTATCTACTAGAAGTAGCGCTGAGATTGATGTTTTTGATCACCAAGGCGGATATTGCTACGATATACCTTTGGTGTCTTAGTCTTACATTTTCCTTTGCGTGTTCTGTATTGAGTTTGTTACTTTTAGGAAGCTCCCCAAACCAATTTAGATTTGGTCTGCGCTATATCTGCTATAAGAACTGTAGCAAATACCTCTTCAGATGAGAAATACCTTGATATTTTATATGCTCTCCAGTATAATGGTACAATGTCCGTCTTCAAAATTGGGTGCGATGTTTTTTGGTGCTCGCTCGTCTTCCTGGATGCTCAATGTGCAATTTAGGCGACTTACGAGATATCAAAAACTTTGGTCCATTTCCCTTGACATTGGTCTTGCTGGGAGCTTCTGCGTGCTCCCTGACTATAATCTTCTTCTGGTTTCTGCTCATTATCGTGCATCCTCTGAAGACATCTTGCCAGGTGGACTTTGTTCATTCCGCTTGACGGACAGCGATCCTTTTGTCGAACCCATAAGGGTAGCAGACGATCAAGGTTTGTGCTTTATAGCCTCCTTATCTTAGTCTACATATGATAGTCGAAATTTTGGATAATATTTACTTATGTGCGATCAGCTAGCATTCGTTCAAAGCTGCTTTTTAGGCGGCTGGCTGTCGCGACTTCCATTCAGCTCAGCTTCGTATGCATACTTAGTGTCAATATCGATGAATGAATCTTCTTCAAAAATGGCAGCGGTCTCTAGCAACGGCGACTTCTTTTTATTTGATGTAAGTTTTTTTAGTATCAAATTTTTGAAAATCATATCGTCAACTACCAAAACTTGCTTTGATTTCAAGACAAAATGTGGTGTAGGGCTTTAGATTTTTGGCGCTAGTTCACTTTACCGTGAAAACGAAGGTTGTTTTCGTCAATGTACGTTTCCAGATTCCATCTACCCGAATTGTCTTTCAAGTAAAGTACATCTCAGGACCTCGGCCTGTGCAAGCCGTTTTTGTTGAAAATGAGGTTTGCTTACATTATTTACTTATGCCATTCACCTAGAAGTCTTGTATGGCTCCCGCTACATTTTCTTTTTCTTTTCATTTCTTCAAATTTCCGACATGTCTTTTCTGTTCCCTTGAAATCTCTGGCTAGAAGTACATGGAAGGAATATGCAAAGTTGTTGCTTGTTTAGGAAGTTGGTTTGCTATTCCACTCGGGCGAAATGGTAAGGAGCTCGTTGGATGAGCTTAAAGATGCAATATACGCCGTCCAATACACCGAAAAGTACACATCGCGAACGACTCTAGTTGCACCTCGTAATCGCGACCTCTTCATTTTGGCTACGGATGTAAGCGGAATCCATTTCCTCGCGCAAATCAAACCTTAGTCTGCTTTATTGCGTAATGTACATTAGCTTCAGGCTGGCAGTGAGACTCTACGTGAAGTAGCGCTTCAACGTACTTCTCTGGCATGCCGCTTATGGATCTTTACTCTGTGGAGCTCATTCAAGAATGTAAATCTCCTTTCCTCTTTCCTACATCTCTTTTGGAATTTTAACAAAGAAACTTGTTTTTTCCCTATAATCGCCTAATTTTCACAAT